GCTTTCTCTGCATCTATTGAGATGATCATGTGGTTTTTGTTTCTCATTTTGTGAATCACGTTGATTGACTTGCGGATGTTGAACCATCCCTGTGGCCCTGGTATAAATCCCACTTGATCATGGTGTATAATCTTTTTGATGTATTGCTGTATTCGGTTTGCCAAAATTTTGTTGAGGATTTTTGCATCTATGTTCATCAGTGATATTGGCCTGTAGTTTTCCTTCTTTGTGTTGTCCTTGTCAGGTTTGGGGATCAGAGTGATGTTGGCTTCACAGAATGTGTTAGGGAGTGCTGCATCTTCCTCAATTTTCTGGAATAGTTTGAGAAGGATAGGTATTAAATCTTCTTTGAATGTTTGGTAGAATTCTCCAGAGAAGCTGTCTGGTCCTGAACTCTTATTTTTGGGGAGGTTTTTGATTACTGTTTCTATTTCTTTACTTGTGATTGGTCTATTTAGATTCTCTATTTCTTCCTGATTCCGTTTGGGGAGGTCATTAGAGTCTAGGAAGTTATCCATTTCTTCTAGGTTGTTCAATTTGTTGGCATATAGTTTTTCATAGTATTCTCTTATGATCCTCTGTATTTCTTCAGTATCTGTTGTGATTTCTCCTCTCTCATTTCTAATTTTATTTATTTGAGACTTCTCTCTTATTTTCTTAGTGAGTCTGGCTAAGGGTTTATCAATTTTGTTAATTTTTTCAAAGAACCAACTCTTTGTTTCATTGATCCTTTCTACTGTCTTTTTTTGTTTCAATCTCTTTTATTTCTGCTCTAATTTTTATTATTTCCCTCCTTCTACAGACTTTTGGCTTTGTTTGTTCTTCTTTTTCTAATTCTGTTAAGTGTCATCTGAGGTTGTTTATGTGAGATTTTTCTTGCTTATTGAGGTGAGCCTGTATTGCAACGAATTTCCCTGTTAGGACTGCTTTCGCTGCGTCCCAAATGAGTTGGTATGGCATGTTTTCATTTTCATTTGTCTCCAGATAATATCTGATTTCTTCTTTAATTTCTTCAATAATCCATTGTTTGTTCAGTAGCATGTTGTTTAGTCTCCACATTTTTGCCCCTTTCTCAGCTTTATTCTTGTAGTTGATTTCCAGTTTCATAGCATTATGATCCAAAAAGATGCTCGATATTATTTCAACCCTCTTGAATTTATTGATGCTTGCTTTGTTTCCCAAGATATGGTCTATCCTTGAGAATATTCCACGTGCACTTGAGAAGAATGTGTAACCTGCTGTTTTTGGATGAAGTGTTCTATATATATCTATTAAGTCCATCTGGTCTAATTTTTCATTTAATTCTATAATCTCCTTGTTGATTTTCTGTCTGGATGATCTATCCATTGGTGTTAATGGTGTGTTGAGGTCCCCTACTATTATTGTATTGTTGTTGATGTCTCCTTTTTGTTTCGTTAATAGTTGTTTTACAAATTTTGGTGCTCCTGTGTTGGGTGTGTATATATTTATAAGCATTATGTCATCTTGGTGGAATGTCCCTTTTATCATTATATACTGCCCCTCTTTGTCTTTCTTTATCTGTTTTGCTTTGAAGTCTACTTTGTCTGATATAAGTATGGCAACACCTGCTTTCTTTTGTTCATTATTAGCTTGAAGTATTGTCCTCCATCCCTTCACTCTGAGTCTGTGTTTGTCTTTGGGGCTGAGGTGTGTTTCCTGGAGGCAGCATATTATTGGGTCTTGTTCTTTGATCCATCCTGCCACTCTGTGTCTTTTGATTGGAGACTTCAATCCATTTACATTTAGAGTGATTATTGAAACGTGGGGGCCTACCACTGCCATTTTATCACTTGTTTTCCGGTTCTCTTGCATTTCCTTTGTTTCGCATCCCATGATTTTTGGATTCCTAATTGAGGTAGGTAAACTTTTGTATTGGCTTTCTTCTTATTTGTAATTTGTGTCTTTATTCTTATTTGTTTAGTGGTTACCAGGTGGTTTGTATAACACACCTTGTAGATGAGATAGTCCTTTTTCTGATAACCTCTTATTTCCTTAAATTAAAACTTTCCATCCCTTTTCTCTTCCCCTTCTACGTTGTTATTGTCAGATTTTTTTTCCTTCTTGTGTTGTGAGTTTGTGGTTAAAATGACAGGATTATATTTATTCTTGGTGTTTCCCTTCCTTTTATCTTTAATGTTTTATTTAACTTTTGCTAACCTGTTCTGATGGAGAGCTGCTACTTTCTGTTATTGTCCTTCTACTTATCTCCTTTGTTCTGGGTTTTGTAATCCCTTTACTTTTTTTGATTTTTCAGGTATGAGAGTCTTCCTGAGCATTTCTTGAAGAGGAGGTCTTGTGGCAATGAACTCCCTTAACTTTCGTTTATCTGGGAAAGTTTTTATTTCTCCATCGTATGTGAAGGATATTTTCGCTGGGTAGAGTATTCTTGGCTGCAGGTTTTTGTCCTTCAGAGTTTTGAATATATCATTCCATTCTCTTCTAGCCTGTAAGGTATCTGCTGAGAAATCTGCTGATAGCCTTAAGGGTGTTCCTTTGTAGGTTATTTTCTTCTGCCTGGCTGCCCTTAGTATTTTCTCTTTGTCATTGACTTTTGCTAGCCTCACTACTATATGCCTTGGGGTTGGTCTTACATTGATAAAGTTTGGAGATCTATTGGCTTCTGTCACCTGAAGTTCCATCTCTCTCCCCAGGTTTGGAATGCTCTCAGCTATTATTTCTTTGAACAGACTTTCTGCCCCCTTCTCCTTCTCTTCTCTCTCTGGTATACCTATAATCCTTATGTTGCATCTCCTAATTGAGTCAGATAATTCTTGGAGAGTTTCTTCGTTTCTTTTTAGTCTTAGTTCTCTCTCCTCCTCTGCCTGCAGCATTTCTATATTCCTATCCTCCAAATTGCTAATTCTTTCCTCCATGTTATCGACCCCACTGTTCAGAGAGTCCAGATTTTTCTTAATCTCCTCCACTGTGTTCTTCATCTTCAGTATTTCTGATTGGTTCTTCTTTATAGTATCAAGCTCTTTTGTGACATAGCTCCTGAACTCGTTGAGTTGTCTATCTGAATTCTCTTTTAACTCATTGAGTTTTTTAATAATGGCTGTTTTGAATTCATTGTCATTTAGGGTATAGATTTCATTGTCATTGGGATTGTTTTCTGGGTACTTGTCATTTTCCTTCTGTTCTGGAGATTTAATATATTTTTTCATACTGTTTAATGGCATGGATTTGTGCCTCTGCATAGAGATAGAGTTTAGTTACTGCTTCCACTTGTTTCAACTGATGTGGGGGGCGAGCAGCTATTTAGACTGCACTGACCAGGAACCCAGTCAGCTGTTACTGACTGGACCTGGGCCCCTCCTCGTGGTCACAGTGGTCCTGTTGGGTCCCTCATCAGTTGTGGGGGCAATCACAAGGGGGCCTCAGGCTGCTGGTGCCTACTGTTGCAGACCACCTAGATGCGCTCCCTCCTTGGGGTCTGCAGTGGTGTTATGGGCTTTTCCAGCGGCCGAGAGCAAGATCACCTATAATCACAGCTCTGTCACTGTCAGAGCCCACAAGATATCACTTGTCCACTATAGGTCCCAGCAGAGCTATGCATATCTTCTGCAGTCTGTGGTTAGCTTGCCTAGCTGTGCTACTTTTGCCCCAGTGCCTTCCAGCCTTGTGATTGCCAGTTGGGACCTCTCCACTAGTGCTGTGCAGAGGCTTTCACTGAGGCTGCTGTGAGAACCTGGAGTTTCCCCCTGGGCCACGGAGCCAGGCTGCTGGAGCTCCACCCAGCCCCAGACCACTCCCACGGAATCTCTGGGAGCCCCTTGCCCCGTCTGGGATGCAGCCAGAGTCTGTGAGTCCTGCGGCGGCTGGTGGGCTGCTGCCCTGCTCGGGATCCTGCTCTTTGGGAGCCTCCCAGTGCTCTGAATGCTGAGTGAGGCCTCTCTGCTAATGGCAAGTAGAGGCTTTCCCTGCTGCCGGTGCAGGACCCTGGAGTTTCCCCCTGGGCCGCTGAGCCGGGCACCGGAGCTCCACCCGGCCCCCGACCACACCCACGGGATCTCTGGGTGCCTCTTGCACCCTCTGGGGCACAGCCGGAGTCCGTGAGTCCAGGCAGCAGCTGGCAGGCTGCTGCCTCGCCTGGGATCTTGCTCTTTGGGGGCCTCCCGGCATTCTGAATGCTGGGCGGGGCCTCTCTGCTAATGGCGAGCAAAGGCTTTCCCTGCTGCTGGTGAAGGACACTGGAGTTTCCCCCTGGGCTTAGGTGTAATCACAGGGGGCTTAGGTAGGGCTATAGTCACCTGTTTCCACCGTTGCTACACCAGTGAATGCACACTCCCACCCTTGGTGCATGGCGTTGCTATGGGGGAGTCCACTGGAAGAGAGCCGCTTGCAGGTACTAGGCTGTCTGGGGGTCAGAGGTCAGAGAGTTTTCACCTATCTCCACGTCCTCCCAGGGGGAAGTCCATCTGCCTTCTGATGTATAGCAGCACGGGTCTCTCAGGCGTCCTGAGATGCTATACTGATATCCTTTGTTAACTGATGGATGTCCAATTAGTTGTAGATTCGAAGGGGGAGAGACAAAGAAGACTACTCCCTCCGCCATCTTCATCTCTTGTGATTTTTAAATATTTCTTATGTTTCAGTGGTTTACAACAACATTCATTCTTAAAGAAGAAAACGGATTTGGGGGACTTAAATTTCTTGCACAAGAACAAACAGCTAATAAGTGGTAGAGTGCTCTTACCAATCTGCTCATGAGGAAACTATGAGATCATTAGTGGAGAAATGGGATGAAACGGAACCGAATTTGGAGAGGCAGACATTTCAGTTTGGTGCCAAGCTACCTCCCCAATGGTTGACCTTTGTCACACAAGACTTCAGCAGCTACCATCCACTCTGCTCCCATTTTCTTTGTTCAAGGAAACTTGGGGGAGGGGAGTAAAAAACAAACAAAAAACACTTTGTGGAGACTCAAATTAAGGGAGAATTTATTTAACAACAATAATTTTTAATCCTACCCCTAAGTACATATCTGCTTCCTGTGAACTGTGCTGGTTCCATGAGGACAGGGGCTGTGACTTCTCTCAGCAGTGCTGGGGATCAATGAAGGACAGTTGACAATCAACTGGCCCCCACCAGTGAACTGTAGAGAGGCAGAGATTTTTTTTTTCTGTAACCCTAGTGCTTAGGACAGAGCTTTGACTCAATGTTGCCTTTACCTCTCCTGCTCACTTTATTGTGACCACATGAACTTTCTCCCGGTTCCACAAACAATGCAAGGTCCTTTCCTGACTTGAGGCCTTTGTTGGAGTCCCCTGGCCTGAAATGCCCTTCTCCTGGCTCTTTGTATGGGTGACTCTTTCTCATCCACAGGTATCAGCTAAATCTTAATTCCTCACCTGTCAGCTCTTGGTAAGTAGGTTTCCCTCCTCCATTTTTCTCTGTCACAGAACTCTGTCTGTTTCCTCAGAGTTCTCCAACTTCATTTTTCAGTAACTAGAACTTAATTTCTATTTCGAACTATCATTCAACTGGTGGAAGAAATAACATTAATCTTCTTGGGGTTTCCCTCTTTCTCTTCCTGACTCCAAGCTCTGGAGAGCTTACAAAGTGCTGAGGTATACAGTGGTGGATGGGAGTGGGCTGAGGTATAGCCTGGGCCTCTGTGTCTGGCACCCACTGAGAGAACCTCACTCCCATGAGGCCATCTGTCCCCACAGGTCACTGTGGCATCTTCTTGGGTTGTGGTATTATAGTTTCATGACTGTAAATCTCTCCTCATATCTGTCTTGGTTTCCACAAGGTCTGATACTCTCTGGGCCTTAATGGATGCTCAAGAAATATTGGATTTCTTGAATTGATTCATCCCCCAGACCTCTGGGCTACCAATGAGGCCTTGAAAGAAAGCTGGATGTCCATGCTAACTTTGAGGCCCTGTGCCAGGATCCTTAGAGAGCCTCGTATTTCAATCAGATCCTTTGAAAGAGTAAGAGTCACTGCTGTGTGTGCTGCCCATTTGTAAACCACAACAGGCAGCATATATACAACAGCTTTTATTCTTCTATGGTTTCTTTAATTCGTCTTATTGTCCATGGAGTTTTCACAAGTTTATTGCATTTGAGTTTCATGCAGTCCACCTACTGCGGCATAGAATTTTAGAGACACAGAGGTCTTGGAGATCATTAAATTTAAGACTTTCATTCTACAGATGAGTAAAGTAAGATCCAGAGAAAGAAGGTAAATTGCCCAAAGTTACACAACAAGTTAGCAAGGTTAGGACTAGAACCCAAATCACTTAATGTCAGGTTCTGTGTCCTTCCACAACACAACGCAGAATATACCACATTAGCCCCATGAACCACATCGGTTCCTTGCACCAAGTCAGGTCTGTGGGCTGCATTGGCTGCATATACCATTGGCTTAATTTTCCACCTTGGCTACAGATATTTATTGTTTACATGTACCACTATGCCTGTATTACCTCGGCCCTCTACTGTGTCCATGAATCAAGTCGCTTACAGTTACCATGTTTCATTTTGGTTACATGTATTCTATTGGTTCTACTGCCATTATAGTAGATTATATTACCACCCACATTATTTTCTGCTCTCACTGTAGAGGATTATACATCCATACCCATTGCCACGTGACTTGCGTTACTTTTCTGTGGGAAGAAAATGCTTCCCGCCCTTTTGCCATCAGGCTTGACCATATCACTTGCTTTGGGAATAGGATGTGAGCAAAGAGATGTGTGTCACTTATGAGCAGAAGCTTTAAGAGTCACCGTGTATTTTGGCCGTTGTTCCTTTCTCTCTGTTGTAAGAATGGCATGTTCCAGATAGGGCCTCCTCCTTCAGGTTGGATCCAAGAATCCAGTGGCAGAAGGCCACAGTCCACCTACAACTGAGGTGGAACATGAGCAATAAATGAACTTTTGCTGTTGCAAGCCACTGAGATCATGGAGTTGTTTATCACTGCACAACAGTATAGCAAGCTGATCGAGACAGCCATGGTGGTTTCATGTACCACACTTTTTCCACTGACAAAGTGCTGTGTTCGTTCAAATGCACAATGTCGGTTGCTTACGTTATAGATGCTGTCCCTTTCCTCAGCATTGGACATTCTACCCCAGGCCCCTCCTGTCTCCCAGTTCACCAGGCCACCCTACTCCACCCCATCACTTTAAGAAGAGCCCCCTTGATATCCTTGTTCCTCAGACTGTAGACCACAGGGTTGAGCAGGGCAGTGAAGACATTATAAAAGAGGGAGATCTGCTTGTCTCGCTCAGGGGAATAGCTGGAGTTGGGTCTTATCTAGATGTAGGTGGCTGGAGCATAGAAGAGAGTGACCACAATCAGGTGGGAAGCACAGGTGGAGAAAGCCTTGCAGCGGCCCTGAGTGGACTTGATCTTGAGAATGGCTTGAGCAATACGGATGTAGGAGGCCAGAATGAGGGAGAGTGGGGCAACAAGCATGAAGACACTGATGACCAGGTCTGCCATCTCAATGAGGTGGGTATCCATGCAAGCCAAGCTCCGTACTGAGGGGCCTTCACAAAAGTAGTGGTTGACCACGTTGGGCCCACAGTATGGCAGCCTCATGGTGAGGGAAGTATGGATCAGAGAGAAGAAACCGCCGGCCCAGGTCCCAGCTGCCAGCCGTGTGCACAAGCCCCAGTTGAGGATGACAGTGTAACGCAGTGGGTAGCAGATGGCCACGTATCGGTCATAAGCCATGATTACAAATAAAATGCACTCGGCCACGCTCAGGGTACCAAACATATACATCTGCAGCCAACAGCCAGTAAAGGAGATGGCCTGAGAGTGAGCGAGAAGATGCACCAACATCTGGGGCATAGTAGTGGTAACGGAGCCCATATCCAGCAGGGAGAGGATACAGAGGAAGAAATACATGGGAGTGTGGAGATGTGTGTCCAGGCAGATCAGGGTGACGATGAGCCCATTGGCCAAGACTGAGCTCAGGTAGAGGAGAAAGAAGACAATGAAGAGGATCCTGTTGGACGTGGGGTCACTGGAGAAGCCAAGCAGGATAAATTCAGAAACCCAGCTTTGGTTCTGCCCTGGAGGCATCCACATGATGAGACCTATAAGAGAGTCACACTCATTTAAATGTTGTCTAAAGTCATTTAAAGATAGTCTAGCAAGAATGTCAGCCCTGGAGGCAGATAGGTTAGGATTTTAATTCTAGCCCCACTACCCATTTGCTGACTTGAATAAGTTACTTAACCTCTCTGAGCCTCAGTCTCTTCATCTGTAAAATGTGGCTGATAATAGTCCTCTCTCAGGGTTTTTATGAGGAGTAGAGGCAATGTGTATGAAGCATCTAACACAATGCTTTAAAATAATAAATAAGAGTGGAATGCTTATATGCAATCTCCCCAGGCCTACTCCCCACCCCTCGGTGGACAAACTGGTCACTCACATGTCTAGCAACAATCAGTTTACACCAAGTCAGCCCCAGCCCTTAAACCTTTAGAGGTAGAGTTCCCCTCTGCCTCAGAGCCCACTTGTCTGGATGGGCTACAAGCCTCTCCTCATCGGTAAACATTTCTCCTTTGCCAGCTGACAAGGTGAGGCTTTGTCAGTAGAGGGCACTAGAGGGGCACTGTGATGTGATAGCAGCAGGAAGGTACTTATTTGGGGGCTTCAATCCTTCCCCACTTATTCAGCTTGAGAGACAACGCGTTGGTGAGTGATAGCACTCACTTCAACTGACCTCACTGGACCCACTACAGGCACACACGGGCCACACTTTCCTCACCCAGCAGGCTGCTCTCATGGCGACTCTGGCTATCCTTCATGCAACTGTTTTTCCACCTGACAGGCTACTTCTGCAGACCAGCCCTGGCCACACACTCAGGCCACACTCTCCTCACCCATTGGCCACCTCTATGTGACCTCTGGCCTGTGCCCACCACTGGCAGACTCTGTATTCCTGTGGTAATCACGCTGTCTTCAAAAAAGCCTAAACTCAGCTTTTTTTTTTTGGGTGGGGGGATGCGGGCAGGAGCAGAGTGAGTGAGGGGGGTATCTGCTAAATCCTTAGCCCCTTCAGTGTGTACTCTCCTTCAGCCATGAGGTAGTGGCTGCTTTTTTTCCACTTGCTACTTCTGGAACTCCTAGAGTCTTCTTTTACCCCTTTTAGTAGTTCCTACCTTTTACTAGTTAACAGTTCTTTATATTAAATTTTCCCTGTTCATATTACTGGTGTATTCTGTCTCCTGACAAGATGCTTATGGATATAGATACTAAATCTGTGGTGAGTGAGTTTGATAAGGAACAAAATGTTACATGGTTATAAGCTATTTATCCATAAAGTATTGATTAATTCCAAAAGTAAAAAGCTGTAGCTATCAGTGGAGAAACTAGACAACATCTTAACTGAGTGATTATAATTAAAATCACCAATAAGGAGGAGATAGACACAATGTATCTCCATGTGTGAAATTATAACACTAAATCACCTATGTATTATTTCAGCCAAAAATGCAAAACCTGAATCTAATCATGAGGAAACATCAAAGAAACGTAAATTGAGGAACATTCTATAAGATAACTTATAAAATAAACTATAAAAGGGGCTGGCCCAGTGGCATAGTGGATAAGCTTGGCATGCTCCACTTTGGTGGCCCAGGGTTTACAAATTTGGATCCCAGGCATGGACCTATGCCACTCATCAGTCATGCTGTGGTGGCATCCCACATACAAAATAGAGGAAGACTGGCACAGATGTTAGCTCAAGGCCAATCTTCCTCTCCAAAAAAAAATAAAAAATAAACTATAAAATAATCTTCAAAAACTGTCTATACAATGAAAGACAAAGAAAGGCTGAGAATCTGTAATAGATGCAAGGAGACTGACAAAACCTAACGACTAATGCAATATGTAATCCTGGAAGGGGGAATGCAATAAATAACGTTATTGTGACAATTGATAAAATTTGAATATGAATTAGATTAGATTAGATTAAATAAATGTATTGACGTTAAATTTCCTAAATTTGATAACTACTATATAAGAGAATATCCTGGGGCTGGCCCCGTGGCCGAGTGGTTAAGTTCGCGCGCTCCGCTGCAGGCGGCCCAGTGTTTCGTTAGTTCGAATCCTGGGCGCGGACATGGCACTGCTCATCAGACCACGCTGAGGCAGCGTCCCACATGCCACAACTAGAAGAACCCACAACGAGGAATACACAACTATGTACCGGGGGGCTTTGGGGAGAAAAAGGAAAAAATAAAATCTTTAAAAAAAAAAAAAAAAAAAAAAAAAGAGAATATCCTTATTCTCTTGTATCTTAGGAACTACTCACTGAAGTATTAAGAGGTAAAGGAATGTGATATTTGCAAATTACTCTCAAATAGTTCTGGAAATTATAATAACAACAATGTGACAAGTTATTAAAAATTAATAAATCTGAGTATGGGGCATACAAGATTTCTTTGTAGTATTCTTTCTGCTTTTCTATAAGTTTGAAGATATTTCAAAAAAGTTTTTAAAAACTAAAAATTTTTTCACTTTTTTTTTTTTTTTTGCTGAGGAAGATTCACCCTGAGCTAACATCAGTTGCCAGTCTTCCTCTTTTCTTCTTTTTCAGGTGAGCCACTGCCACAGCATGGCCACTAACAGACAAGTGATGTGGTTTCACATCTGGGAACTGAACCTGGGCCACCAAAGTGGAGCGTACCAAACTTTAACCACTATGCTATCGGGGCTGGCCCCCCTAATTTTTTTTTTTTGAGGAAGATTAGCCCTGAATTAACATCTGTCACCAATCCTGCTCTTTTTGCTGAGGAAGATTGGCCCTGAGCTAACATCCATGCCCATCCTCCTCTACTTTATATGTGGGACTCCTGCCACAGCATGGCTTGGTAAGTGATGCATAGGTCTGCACCCGGGATCCAAACCGGTGAACCCCGGGCCACCAAAGCGGAACTTAAATTCCCTGAAGTGTGAACTTAACTGCTGCGCCACTGGGCTGGCCCCCCTAAAAATTTTTTTACATGTGAAATAAAACCTTTTTCAGACAAAAATAGTGAGATTATTTAAGAGGAGTTCTTCAGGAAGAAAGAAAGTGACAGAAACACAGAAATACAAAAAGGAGTAAAAAGAGCCTCTCAAGGAAAGGGTAAATATAAATTAATAACAAATGTAAAACAATAGTTAAAGTCTTGTGGGATTTAAAACAAATGAAAGACTAAAGATCATGACAACAACAGCACAAGAAATGGAGGGGATAAGTAAAGTTAGAGAGTTCTGAGTATTTAGCTTACTTGGAAAAGTGGTAAAATTAATCATTTGCATCAGACTGTGCTAAGATAAATCTTTGACTTGATCCCCTTGTAATATCTAGGGAAATCATTAAAAGAATGAATAATGTATAACTAACAGCCTAAAATAGGGGTAAATGTTTTATTAATTCAAAATAATGCTCTTTTGAGAGAGGGAAAGATCAAACATAAAACAGGTAGGTCAAATAAAAAATAAGTGGAAAGATGGTAAATATGAACTTAAGTAAGGAGGTAATTACTTTAAGTGTAAAAGGACTAAATATTTTAATACAAAGCATATTTTCAAACTGAGTTTATAAAAACACCTACATATTGCTTACAAAAAACACAGCTTAATCAGTTTGCAATATATAAATGTATCAAGTCCACACATTGTACACCTTAAACTTACACATTCTATCTCAATAAAGCTGGAGGGGGCAGAAACACACCTTAATATAAGGACATAGGTACACTAGGAGGAAAGAATGGAAGAAAACACTAACCCAAAGAAACACGTTGTAGCTTCATGAAACATTTGTCAAAATTGACCCCATGCTGCATCATAAATGTAAGCTCAAAAAAATCCAAAGGATGGAAATCATTTAGAGTATATTCTCTGATCACCATGAAATTGGCTAGGAATCAGTTTCAGAATAAATATAATGAGGAAGTACCCAAAACCTTTTAAATTAGCATACACTTCTAAAAAATCTATGGAACAAAGAAAAACTAAAATGGAAATTAGCATATACTGAACTAAATGACAATGAAAATACTTAGGGAGAAATTTATAGCTTTAAATGCATATATTAGAATAGAAGAAAGTCTTAAAATGAATCAACTAATCTTCCATCTCTAGAAGCTAGGAAAATAACTACAAATCAAACCGAAAAAGAAGTTGAGGAAGGAAATAATAAAGATAAGAGCACAAAACAATGAAACAGTAAACAAACTTACACCGGAGAAAAATGAACACAGCAACAGATTCACTCTTTGAAATAATTAATGAATAAGTTCTTAACAAGACTGATAAAGAATTATAAACATCAGGATGAAAAGGGAACATTACTACAGATCCTATAGACATTTGAAAGATAATTTAAAAAATTACAAGCAAATTTATACCAATAAATTTGACAATTAAATGAAATGGACAAAAGGGCTGGCCCAGTGTCATAGTGGTTAAGTTTGCATGCTCCACTTTGGTGGCCCAGGTTTTGCAAGTTTGGATCTTGGGCACAGACCCACACACCACTCATAAAGCCATGCTGTGACAGCATCCCACATACAAAATAGAGGAAGACTGCCACAGATGTTAGCTCAGTGACAATCTTCCTCAAGCAAATAGAGGAAGATAGACAATGGATGTTAGCTCAGAGACAATCTTCCTCACCAAAAAAAAAAAATTGAAATGGACAAATGTCTTAAAAAACACAAATTACCAAAACTGACACATAAGAAATAAAAATCAGAAGAGTCCACTGTCTTTCTAAAAAATTGAATCTATATTTTAAAACTTTTCTAGAAATAAAACTTCAGGCCCAGAAAGCCTTACGGGTGAGTTCTTCTAACATTTAAGAGAGGAATAATACCAGTCATAATGAACTCTTCCAAAGCATAGTAAAACAGTGGAAAGTTCCCAACTCACGTTATGAGACCAGCATAAATTCAATACCAAAAAATAACAAAGATATTACAAGAAAGAAAACTTATAAACCAATCTCTCTTATAAGCATTGTTGTAAAACTACTAAACAACATATTAATAAAGTGAATTTAGCAATATCTGAAAAGGATAATACATCACAATCAAATTGGATTTACTACAAGAATTCAAGGTTGGTTTAGCATTTGGTAAACAAACAATGTAATCACCTTATTAACAGGAGTAAGGGAGAAAAGTTATATGATTAACTCAATAGATGCAGAAAAAGCATTTGGTAAAAAGTCAATAATTGATTAAGATTAGAAGTAAACCTCTTAGCAAACTAGGAATAGAAGGGAACCTTTTTAATGTGATGAACATTATCGCCAATAAAAGAAGAAGCAACTTACAGCAAATGTCAGACCGAATGGTGAAACATTGCTAACTTATCCCTAACATTGGAAATGAAACATAAATATTCACTATAACCATTTCTATTAACTATGTCATAGTGGTCCTAGCCAATGAAATAAGTCAAGAGAAAGAAATAAAAGGC